GCAGACGGCTCCCCAGGAGGACCAGGAGAACATCAATCCGGAGAAGGCAGCGCCCGCCCCGCAGCCGCGGAGCCAGGCCGCGCCCGCGGTGCTCAAAGCCGGCCCTGCGCGGGCGGCGGGGCCGCCGAGGCCCAAGACACGACGGGTGAGCACGGCGGGCGACAGCCTGTGCACTGGGGGCCGAGCAGGACGAGGGGCTCTCGGGACCGGGTTCTGGGTCGGTGGCTTTGGCCTGTAGGATGTGACTGGTAGCGCCTTTCCTTATCCCCAGCCAACACGGCTGTGCTGCCCGTCTGCGGTGCTGGAGCGTCGTCTTGGCCCTCTGCGAGAGTTCCTTCCACTTTCCAGCGCCAGCCACCGCCAAGGACCCAGATCTCCCCTACTCGTCATCTGCTTAAGTGACTGACTTATACTACTAGCGAAGGGTTTTATTAAAAAAAAAAAAAAAAAAGCTTTGCATTTGGTGAAATCCGCCATTTTCGCGCGGTTTGCTCTGCTGCTCCGCCCTAGGGTGAAGAGTGCGAATCCACACGTTTCTTCTTTTTTCGCCAATTCGTCCCGTGTCTACTGGCCGGACCTCTCCCCCCTCCCACCCACACACCCACACCATGCTTCTTAACCTCCATTATTTTGTAATTCCAGTTCGGCTTGTAGAGTTTGCCTATAGGAATGTCTGACAAATTGAGACATGCTTTCTTATCCATGATTACTTTTTGCTTCAGAAAGCTGTTTTTCTGAACAATATATGGGAGTAAAAGCAAGGTGGGGAGGGAGCATAACTCCTTTTCATAAGCTCAAAGCCAGTCATTTACTTCTGTTTAGGCTGCACCCCTAAAGGACCTGCCGATAAATGATGAACCTGTCAGCGCTCTTCCTCCTTGGAAGGCTAACAGTAAACAGCCCGCCTTCACTATTCATGTGGACGAAGCCCCTGCAGAATCTCGGAAGCCGCCACCCGAACCCAAAGCCACGGAGTGCGAAGATGTGCTGGCTTTCAATACAGCCATTGCTTTGTCTGGCACACGAAAACCTCTGGTACCTCTTGATTTTCCAATGGATGGTAGTTTGGGTACGTTCTAAAGAAGATCTTTATCCGTTCAGGCTTGTGGTTACTCTATTGGGTTAATGGGATTGGGTATTTTAAGGTTTACTATAACAAGTTTAAGAAAGGGTGTGGTTTATCTCAACTCCTGGCTAATGTTGATTTTACTGCCCACTCCACGGGAAACAATATCAATTACATCAACTTCATTAAGTTCTAGTGCCTATTTAGGCTGAATCATGGATGTTTATTTGGTTGGGAGAGTAGATTTGTTGTATTTATAATACTTTTTGTGTGTATATGTGTGCTGGTACTGGGGCTTGACCTTAGGGTTCTTGAACTCTCACTTGGCTTTCTTATTTGATCATAGTTGGTGCCCTGCCACTTGAGTCATGCCTTCTGCCCAGCTTTTTAGTAGTTAATACACGTATCCTCAAAACACTTGCCCTGGCTGGCTTTAAAAGGTTACCAGATCTCAGCCTCCTAAGTACTAGGATACATACTCAAGCCACCAACATTTGGCTTTAATAGTATCATACTTCAGAGAATCCTGTTTTAAGATAAAATCTGAAATATTGCTAGCTTTTGTGTGTGTGTGTGTGCACACATGTGCACACCTGTCCTGGAGCTTGACGACAGGGCCCTTTCCCTGAGCATTTGTTCAAGATTGGATCTGTAGCACTTGAGGCACAGCTCCACATCTGGCTTTTTGCTCTCAGGAACTTTCCTGCCTTGGCTGGCTTTGGAATCCCAGATCAGCCTCTTGAGTAGCTAGGCCTGAGCCACCAAAGCCTGGCTTTCATGCTCACTTCACTTCTTCTATCACACTTTAGACTTGTTTGAGGATAGTCTTAAAAATGGTGATGCCTGACACCTCTTTCTGTAAAACTAGTGGTTATATACTATAAAGTGACACTGTCTTAACCCATTGTGGCTGCTGTAGGCAATTCTGCTTACACATTGTACTGTTTATTTACCAAAGGGTGACATTGGACAGGGACAGCTGCATTGTATCCATTTTAGCTCTATTGGTTGGGCGGAGGGGTGTTTGGGAAATTCCTTTGGACATAAAATGTGCAACCAAAATTTAACCTCAAAGGAATCTTTGGTCAAAAAAAGTAGGGATATTCTTTGCCTTAAAAGATAATTTAGCCAGGCACTAGTGGCTCGTTCCTGTAATCCTAGCTACTCAGGAAGGTGAGATATGAAGCCAGCTTGGGCAAGAAAGTCCATGAGACTCATATCTCCAGCAAATTACTCCGGGAAAAAAAAAAAAGCACTGTGCCTAAAGTGGTAGAGCGTTACCCTTAAGCCAAAGATGCTCAGGGGCAGCACCTAGGGCCTAAGTTCAAGCCCCAGGACCAACAAGAGATTTTTTTTTAAAAAAAGATAATTTATAAGCCAGGCATTGGTGACTTACATCTGTAATCCTAGCTACTCAGGATGCTGAGATCTGAAGATCACAGTTCAAAGCCAGTCCAGGTGGGAAAGTGTGTGAGACTCAAAAAAAACAGAAGTGGAGCTGCAGTTCAAGTGGTAGAGTGCTAGTCTTGAGCACAAAAGTTCAGGGACAGTGTCCAGGCCCTGAGTTCAAACCCCAGGACCAGAATAAAGAAAAAAAAACACTTGAATCACTTGAGTGTTGTGCTAATCTGTTTGAGTTGCCCAATTCAAACCAATTTCTTTAGCAATAAGTTATCTGAAACCATTTGATGGATCCTAGCTGTTGCCCAGCTGTGCTTTGCATCTGTCAGCCCTGTGGTAGGGTTTGTAATTCCTACTGCAAACCTCATTTTATCAACTTGAATTTTAAGTACCAGATCATTGCACCATCTACTCCTATCCCGTGGAAGATGAATGATACTTTTACATAATACTGAATCCTATGAGTAGCCTTTCAGGATTTTTTTTCTCATTGATTAAAATTATTGCAGTTATATATATAGACAGATCTGAGTTGAAATAGTCTATGTACTTTAACACAATATGTTCATTTTAATTGGATAAAATGCTTTAGTAGTAATAGATTCCCATAAGGAACCAAGTAGAAAACCAATCTGTCTTTGGGTGGTTCCAGAGTCACCACATGCTATGGACATATCAATTGTGCTAGAAGATGAGAAGCCAGTGAGTGTGAATGAAGTGCCAGAGTACCACGCAGACATCCATGCATACCTCAGGGAGATGGAGGTAAGACTTGAAACCCTGCCTGCAGGGTGCACTCAGTGGGGCAGATTGGAATGGAGAGACTAAAGCTTAAACATTTAATTACTAGTGAATTAGCCTGGTGCAATGTTTGACTTTCTATTTGTAGCAATTCAGCTAATGATAAAATAATCCTTGTTGCAATTTTCTTTATCTGAGAGATAGGGGACAGGGTTGTTACCTGTCCTGGGGCTTGAAGTCAGAGCCTGGGTGCTGTCCCTTAGTTTTGCGCTCAAGGCTAGTGGTCTACCACTTGGGTCACAGCTCCACTTTGAGCTTTATAGTGGTCTACTGGTGATAATCTCACTGACTTCCTGCCTGTGTTGGGTTCAAACTGCAGTCCTTAAATCTCAGCCTCCTGGGTAGCTAGGATTACAGGCGTGAGCCATCATCGCTAGCCTTCTATAAACCTCCCTCCCGATAGGTTAAATGTAAACCTAAAGTGGGTTACATGAAGAAGCAGCCTGACATCACCAACAGTATGAGGGCCATCCTGGTGGACTGGCTGGTAGAAGTGGGGGAGGAGTACAAGCTGCAGAACGAGACCCTGCACCTGGCTGTGAACTACATTGACCGCTTTCTATCCTCCATGTCTGTGCTGAGAGGAAAGCTCCAGCTCGTGGGTACTGCCGCCATGCTGCTTGCCTCGTAAGTCCTGCTGGGTTTATGTGACTTCAGGAAATTGGAATTTTCCAACTGTAACATTTTAATTTAATGCATTCCACTGGGTAGACACTACATTAGGGGTGACACTGTGGTATGTGGGGTTAATAGAAGTGGAGGAGGACAAAATGGCTTTTGAATCTATAATGCTAATTTTCTTAGCTCTTGCATAGGGCCTGTGGTGTGGTTTGTGAACCTGAAAACTGGCTTCTGTACACTGGCACTGAATTTCTGGGTGTAGTTTCTTCCATGCAGGGCTTACTGGCAAACAATCTGTATCTTTGCCTTCTCTCCACTAAGATGTGAAAATGAAGCGTAAAAACCCAAACAGAGTTTCCTCCATCCTCAGCTGTTCGCTGAGCACTGGCACAGCTCCCCTCTTGGGTGGGCTGTGTCACGGCCTCCTTCATCTCTGACTACATGGCAGTCCTTCATTGCTGAGCGGTGGAGCAGAAAGGCTGGTCGGGCAGGGGACAGAGGAATTGCAGTTGGTGGAGAGTGGCTTTATTTTGCTAATGGAATTTCAGATTTGAATTGAGAAGCTTGCTTCTCTTTTGTTAGGACTTACAATTTTGAACTTTTTTCATTTTAGAAAGTTTGAAGAAATATACCCCCCAGAAGTAGGCGAGTTTGTGTACATTACAGATGATACCTATTCTAAGAAACAGGTTCTGAGAATGGAGCACCTGGTTTTGAAGGTCCTTGCTTTTGACCTGGCTGCACCTACAGTAAACCAGTTTCTTACACAGTACTTCCTACACCTGCAGCCTGCAAACAGCAAGGTTGAAAGCTTAGCAATGGTAAGTTCACTTTGCTTGTGGGGGAAAAGCACCAGCGTTGCTGAGCAGCTTTGCTCAGGATCAGGAGAACCAGTGTTTTAGGGCTGGAATCCATTTGCAGCATGGGGAAAAGTTAACCATTAGCAAAGGATACAGCCACAGTTGGCCCTCTATTTCCCATGGATTCAACCACAGGGATTGTAAACACACATGGGAAAAATAGTTGCACCTGTACTGAGCATATACATTAACTGCCATTTCAGCCATGTTATATATTAACATTTATTAATGAGTAATTGAGAGGTAGTAACCCTAAAAGCAGGGGTCTAGGTGTCCATGATTCCTAGGGCAACTGTCGAAAAGCACCAAATAGTTCTTTGAAAGGAAGCTGGTAGTGTAGTGTGCACAGTTATTAAGGGACCAGGGTGCTGGTGGCTTATATGTATAAATTTAGCTGCTAAAAAGGCTGAGATCTGAGGCTTATGGTTTGAAGCCAGCCCTGGCAAGAAAGTCCTTGAGACTCAACTCTAATGAACCACCAGAAAGCCAGTAGTGGAGCTGTGGCTCAAGTGGGAGAGCACAGCTTTTAGCACAAAAGCTCAGGGACCCAGGCCCTGAGTTCAAGCCCCAGGACAAGCACAAGAAAAAAAGTTATCAAGGGAAGAAAAAGAGGATAAGGCTATGAGCAGTCTCCTGCTTGGCATGGATTTGAATTCTAGAGCTCTTGTGATTAAATGGTTTTCCATTCCAGTTTTTGGGAGAATTATGTCTGATAGATGCGGACCCGTACTTGAAGTACCTGCCGTCGATTATTGCCGGAGCTGCCTTTCACTTAGCACTCTATACCATCACAGGACAGAGCTGGGTTCGTATTCAAGTTTTCATTTTGCACATCTGCTTTGACTGAAATGTGTGCTTGAAAACTTTGGAGCCATATCACCTGCTGCTTGCAGACAGTAAATGATAAGAGTTGGTGTAAAAGTGACAGGATAGTGGCCTGAGGAATGGAGGTGTTCAAGATAAGTTACACACGCAAATTGCTGCTTTGACTATCAACCCCCTTCTCTGTCCTTAGCCGGAATCATTAGTCCAAAAGACTGGATACACCCTGGAAAGCCTCAGGCCTTGCCTCCTGGACCTCCACCAGACCTACCTCAGAGCACCACAGCATGCGCAGCAGTCCATTCGAGAGAAGTACAGAAACTCAAAGTAAGGCCCACCAAGGAGACGCTGCTTGTCCCGTTACTGCCTAGTGAGAAGACTATGTCCACAGAGGGCTGTAGTAAACAGCTCTGCCCCTTGATTTCGGTGGGAGGCATTGTATGTGGGGATCAAACATCCTAATATCATCAGACTCACCCGCAGATAGAAACAATTTTGAGGTTTTGGCAAATTTATTATTTATGATCTCTGTTGTCTAGTGAATGTTCATTACTAAAAGCCATTTCTTTTCTACCCTCAGGTATCATGGGGTTTCTCTCCTCAACCCACCCGAGACACTAAATCTGTAACTATGAAGGATGCCTTGCTTTCTAATGTAAATCATTCCAAGTACATGGTGTACAGTTTTTATTTTAGGTTTTAATTTCACAATCATTTCTGAACATACAAGTTTTGGCCAAGGACAAATTATGGTATCTATCATTTTTAAGTGGTTTTAATTTGTATATCTTTTTGTACATGTATCTATCTCCGATAATTAGCTAATTTTAAGTGGTTTTAGTAAATATTGACTCCAGCCGCCAATATAAGAATAAATTGATTTGGAAGTCTTCATAAGTGAAGGTTAATTTGAAGTAAAACTATGACTTTTGGGGGATATCATTTAGAAATGCTCTCTTAGCTTAGGGTTTATTATATAATAAGGAAAGCTCTTCTCTAGGAAAGCAGACCCTCCCTCAAATTCTGACATTCTTTATCCTAAATAATTGGGCCTATTTGCTGCACTGTTCACACTTTCTTTTGACTGGGAAAAGTGTGCTCTGGACCCAGCTCTTGTCTGTCTCTTTGCTCTTTCTCTTAGCTCTTTCTTTGCATGAAGTGTGGCAGCTTATTAAATAACTTATTCCTCATCAACCTTTACAAACTCAAAAGATTACAGATGGGAAGCTCTGAAATAGATAACGTTCTCTAGAAATGTTCATTTGAAGCATAATGTAAAAGAAAAGAAACTGCTAGGTTTTCTAAAGGACTTTTGAATAAAAAATACCCAAGATTGTTAGCATGGATGGAATAAATATCCTTTTAATAGTTATATATATACATACATTAAATCATGTTAACTCTAATTAGCCGCTCTCTTCTTTTTCCTCTTCCTCACTGGATTTTTACTGGGTGCTTTCTCTTGTTTTGCACTGACCGTCTGTGTTCTGTGAATAAAGTAAATTAACAGCTCACCAAGTGTCCTTGTTAAATTCTGGATCACCGGCAGAAGACTTTCTGGTTTTCCAGTCGGATATAAAATGTGGCAGCAGCAAGAGTAAAATAGCAATGGTGGGAAGTGTCCCCCCTTACAGAATTAGAAACTGGCAAGCCAGTGAGGTGCTGCTGCACAGCGTCATGCCAAGGGCTGGCCCCCAGACCTGAGAGAGTTTGTGTACACAAACCAGAGATCTGTTACCTTATTTTCTTTGGGTTCTTGTCTGGTTCTAAAATGATCCTCTCTTCTTCTTCACTATCGGAGAGGACGATAGGAGCAGCTTTGAGAAATGGCAGAGAGGTAATGTGAGTGACCTTCAAGTTTGCACACCAGGTGACTATTTGCTGGACACTTACAGATATACCTTGTTCTTTAACATCTTTCCCTCTCAAGAAGCTCTTGTATAAAAATTGTGTATGTGTGTTGCTTACTTGGGGCTTGGGCACTGTCCCTTGAGCTTTTTTGCTCAAGAGTAGCAAACTCTACCATTTGAGCCCCAGCTCCACTTCTGCTTTTTTTGGTGTTAATTGGAGATGAGTCACGGACTTTCCTGTCCAGGCTGGCTTTGAACCTCAGTCCTCTGATCTCAGCTTCCTAAGTAGCCTGGATTACAGGTGTGAGCCACCGGTGCCCAGCTTTCTTTCAACACTTTCCCTAAAGATTCTTTTTATTACTGGCATAAATGCTCAGTGCATTTAGTAAGTGCCATAATAGTAGTACAGAGAATACTATTTATATACCATCTTTTTGAAGTCAGGCCTGGTGCTCTACCACTTGAGCCATAATATGCCCCAGTCTGTTTTTAGCTTGTTTTTTCGGGTAAGGGCTCAGGTTTTTCACCTTGTCGGATTAGACCACAAGCCTCCTGTGCAGCCAGGGTCCCGCCAGTACATGCCACTACACTTCACTGAGACAAAGCCTCCCTAGCCTCACCTGGGCCAGCTGGTTTAAACCACGACCTGCCTGCCCAGTCTCCCTCTGCCTTGGGAATAGCTAGGCTTTCAGGCATCAGCCTTGTGTTAGCATGTTTTATAGAACCAATTTGGAAAGTGATTTTTAAGTCAATATGTCAGATGAATTACTTAAACAGCCTAAGATGGCTTAGGGCGTGGGTACAGTGGAGCAAACCTGAAATCCCAGCAGTGAAGGGAGGATGATTACAGTGAGGCCCATTGGAAAAGCACAAAATCTCATCCAAACTAGTGTTGTTTAATACAAGACACTCACTTCAAACCCCAGTACCACCAAAGACACATTTTCTAAGACATTTTCCAGAAACAAGCAAAAAATATGCCTATAGCTACTTAGCAGGCTTAGCTCTGAGAATTGTGGTTCAAAGCCAGCCTGGGCGGGAAAGCCTGTGAGACTCTTCTCTCCAAAAACCAGAAGTGGAGCTATAGCTCAAGTGGTTGTACTATCTTTGAGCAAAACCCCTTGGACAGTGCCCAGGACTGGCGCACACACACAAGAGTGAAGAACCTATTTCACGTTCTTGCCAATGCTGATACTTGAATGCTTCTCAATCATGCAGTAAAAAGATACCATCATTTTATTGTCTTTGTGTTTTATCTCTACTAGGGTTAACCATGGATAATATTAATAATCCATTTGTACTTTCTTTGAAAAGTACTTCATATTTGCCCATCTTTTGAACAGTAACTAAAAATGTGAACTGGGTGCCAGTGGCTCACACTGTAATCCTAGCTACTCAGGATGTTGAGATCTAAGGATGGTGGTTCAAAGCCAGCCCAGGCAGAAAAGTCTCAGACTTATCTCCAATAAACTATCAAAAAGTTGCAAGTGGAGCTGAGATTCGAGTGGAAGAATTCTAGCACTGAGCCAAAAAGCTCAAGGACAGCACTCACATTATGAGTTCAAGCCCCAAGACCAGCACAAAGTAAAAATATCCCTAGGTAGAAGTTAATTCAGTTGTACAGTGGTTAAAATGCAAAACCAGGCAGAACTAGTTAGCTACTGCAAGCACTTCTGGAGTTCTGTGTGTTCTCATTTAATTGTTTTCACTAAAAAGATAAAAGTATGAAACACATTTCCCTAGGAAATCCACATTAGGCATAGATCATTCTCCTAGCAGAGGCTCTGCTGGGTAGTAAGAGCCTAAAACTACAAGTTTATGGGACATCTTCAGGAAAGTATCTTCCTAAAACTAGCTCACGTTTATATGTAAAACACAGTTTTGCTATTGTTTGCATACCAAAGTATAGTTATTTCAGGCTGGGAAGGTGGCTCAGTGGTAGAACGCTTGCATGCATGAGGCCCTGGGTTCGATTCCAGCACCACATAAGCAGGGAAAAAAAGCTGGAAGTGGCGCTGTGGCTCAAGTGGTAGAGCGCTAGCCTTAAGGTGAAGAGCTGAGGGACAGCGCCCAGGCCCAGAGTTCAGGCCAACGACTGGACCCAAAAACATAACAAAAGTATAGTTATTTCACAAAAATCAGATTCTCTTAGAATTGGTGTTAACATTGCAGTTAGCTTTAGTCATTTGGTTGGTTTTCTTTTTTTTCCCAGTGCCAGTCCTGGGCCTTGAACTCAGGGCCTGGGTGCTGTCCCTGAGCTTTTTGGCTAAAGACTTGCACTCTAGTTGAGCCACAGCTCCACTTCCAGCTTTTTTGGTAGTTAATTGAATATAAGACTCATTGAATTGCCTGAAATTCTCAGATCTGAGCTTCCTAAGTAGCTAGGATTATAGGCATGAGCCATTGGTGCCTACCTGAAATTTAAACCACAAAATGTTAGCCCTTCCAAAACCACTATGTGTAGCCCATCTATATTCTCTGTATAGGTAGGTGTTTACAAAGAACACAGATCTTATAGTGCATGATCTTTTACTTGTAAATAATTATATATAACACTTATCTCTTAGATAAGAGGTTATAGATGACAAATATTAGAGATGAGATAAAAACTGGTAGCACCACCTACCCTGGCCTCCAATACCAGCAACATCCACTGCAGTGTCCATTTTCATGTCGTCAAGAATGATAGCTTCATCACTGCCAGCCTCATCCTCATCTTCTTTCTCAGAGTCCTCAGGAGCGCCCCATGAGTTTTCTATTCCCTCTCCAATTTGGGCAGTGCCAGGAGTCCAGAGCACAGGCTTAGAAACACTGGGCATGTTAAGAAAACTGAACAGCAAGAAATATGGTATACAGACCAGGAAATGTAGCTTAGTGGTAGAGTGCTTGCCTAGCATGTATGAAGCCCTGGGTTCAGTTGCTCAGGAAAGGCCAGAAGTGGTACTGTGGCTCAAGTAGGCAGAGTGCTAGCCTTGAGCTAAAGAAGCTCAGGGACAGTGCTCAGGCCCTGGGTTCAAGCCCTAGCACTGGCCAAAAAAAAAGACAATATACAGATGGCTGAATAATGAAGAAAGATAAATTTTTTAACAGGCAAGATTATGGACACCATCATGGTAAGAAAAACTCAAGAATCAGGCTTCTGACACTGTAGCTGTAAGAAATTTAGCAAATGTGAACAGTATTAAATGTACAAATTTCAAAATTAAAATGAGTCTTAAAGTACAAAATTTTCAAAGGAAAATAAAATGCTGTAATTGGGTGGTCGCTGGAACCCAAGACATTCTATACACTGGGATAGTGTTCCGTCACTGTATTACATCTCAGGCCATAAAATGGTTCTTGGAGAATGTCTGGGTTTTAGAGCTACTGAAGTTCAAGAAGCTGAATGTTAAACCATCAACTTAGTATGACACCACTGTAGTTTGTCTCTAACAGTACAGTATTCCAGGAATGCAATGTCAGTTTGTGCAGACGAGAGAGAGGAAAGCTGAGTCCTGCTGCCATTAAACCCACCCAGTAAAGATACACTTCTGGAGGAGGCTCAGCTTCAGCAATGATTTCATCGGCTTTCTCTTCCACCTCAGAGGTATCAACAGGGGCCTGCTCCATTTTGAAAGCTGTGATCCTTTGATTTGCTATAGATTCTGCAAAGCCAAACTTTCCACCTTCTTTCCTGTCAGTTTTTGGATAGGGGCCAGGGAGGAGATGACAGATGATAGAAAAGGAAGGAAAGAAGTTACTATCTTATCCTTTTGCTAGTGAAAACTACTCTAGTTGATTCATATGACTACCTTAATCCTACCAGTTTATGATAGCTGTCAAGATAACTAGTAAAAGGTTGCTACACATTGCTATTATGTGCTATACATTGCTAGCTATGTGTTTAAAGTATATCCCCCATATTTTTTTTCTTTTGGCAATATTTAAAGTTTATACTCCATGCCTTGATGTGCTAGACATGTGCTCTACCACTTGAGCCATACCCTAAGCACTTTTTGCTTTATTTTTCAAATAATTTCACTTTTTGCCCAGACCAGCCTTAAACCACAATCCTCCTATTTGCACTCGCTGGGATGACAGGTGTAAACTACAGCATCTAGCCTTTTCCTTATTGTTGAAATGCGTCTCACAGAGTTCCTGGGCTGGCTTGGAACTTTGATCTTCCTAACCTCAGCCTTCTGAGTAGCTAGGATTACAGGTATGAACCACTGTATCAGGATGACAGAATAGTCTGTAATACTCAAATTAGCTGTTCCAGGTAAACGCTGGCCTCCCATCAGATAGAAAAATTGGAGTAAAATTTGAAGGGGTCTAATCAATTTACTTTTTCTATGTTTTTAGTACTGGGATTGAACTCAGAGACTACGGCTGACTAGGTTCTACCACTTCCCTGGCCCTGTTATCTTTATTTTAGTTTTCGAGGTACAGTCTTGCGAACTACTTGTGTAGGCCTTGAACTCAGGATCCTTCTGCCTTCACCACCCAAACAGCTGGAATTACAGGCCTGTGCCACCTCACTTGCTCTCTACTTTCAAAAAATACACTACTATATTCAACTGAGACTAAAAAAATAAAGAACAATCAGGTGTGAAATACAGTTGTCCGTGTGCAAGAAAAGCCCTTAAAAGTCTTGTAAAAAGACTATTTAGTTCTGAGGAGTCCAACTTACCTGACTTTCTGATCATTCCCCAAAGCTTTCTGTATGAGCTCTGTAATTTCTGCTACCTTCACACCAGCTATTTTGCTGCATCTCAAAACCTGTTTATAAAAGTGAAGTATCACAAATCAATTCTCTATCAAAACCTAAAACATCAATTCTTTTTTCTACCTTTATAATCCAAGCTTTTTATTTCCAAATATGAAACGACACACTTTAAATGTAAATTAAAACACAAGAGTCATTTTATCACTTTTAAAGGAGTAGTGCATTAAAGGAACAGTGTGATTGATACTGTGGGTGAGGCCACAGACGACATACAGGTATGCTCCGAGAAACATCTGCTTCCTTCTCTATGAGTGATCCACAGAAATGGATCGAGACTGTAGTTGTGATTTTACTTGTGCCAATCATGATAACTGAAACTAGCACTTATCAACACTTAATGTATGTTATACACTGTAACTTATATATGTATTTATCCATCTTTACACCCTCCTAACAAGATATGGGCAGTAATCTCATTCCCTTTTTTAGATTAACTGAAGTCCAAAAATACAAAATCATCTGCCCAAAGGCAGCAAACACAATGTCCAGCTTGAATTTGAACTAAGAAGCTATTGTTCATACTATTTGCAATATATTGTGTTTAAGAACCACTTCTAAATTCTAAAAGTAAAACCATCTTTTTCTCCTACTTTCCTACCTGGGTTGGCCTTTGAACCATGATTCTTAGATCTTAGCCTCCTGAGTAGCTAGGAATATAGGTGTGAGCCACCAGCACTTAGCTATTTATATTTTTAAAGGAGGGGGATATAACTTTTCCTTTACTGGAAGCAAAGCTAAGCCTGGAGGGCCAGATGTGTGGGTAGCAATGGGGGAAGTACTCTTCCCAGCTACCAGTCGAAAGGATGTCATGATTGGACTGAAACCTGATTCCATCACATCCCAGAATCAATCATGGAAAGTCTCCTTGTTGGCTTTTGGTGGTTGTGATATAATAAACAAGCTTCTAAAGAGATTTTACAGGGAGATAGGTCAAAGCACTAACTTGATCTTTAAGAAGCATTATCCCGCCACTGGACTGGATGGTACAGATTTCTCGATGCTTGTTCATGGCGATCACCAGCAAGCCATCCATTACTCGTTCTTCTCGTTCATTGGGATCCACCAACAAGTATGTTCTGAAATGAACATTATATCATCCTGAGCAAATTTGGGTGGAGAGCCTGTTATTCTTAAGGTAATGGGTTTTAAAAACAGTATCAATGAAGCCAACACTGTAAAGATCTTGGCCTGTGGATCTGAATCACAGGGAAGACTCAAAATTGCATTTATAAACATAGTGAATACTTAAGCAGGTATCTCTAGCTATTACAGTAAAATAACAACCAGTTCAGACAGATTTTATTTAATGAAATAATATCAATCTTAGTACGTCTTTGGTTAAATGACGTCAATAAAAACTTAGGTACTATTTTACAATTTTCCCTATGTGACATATTCTACGGTCTTCTAGATTCTGCTAATGGCACATTAATGCCCATTTCTACACCACCCAATATACCACCTGATAGGCACATGGCTTCTGAGTCCATATATGCAAAATAGTAGATTTCAAAGAACAGAGAACTCTCTTGAATAATTTAAGATATTACATAGTAAAATAAAAACTTATTAGGTCAAACAAAATCTATAAAACATTTTTAACTCTTTACTGTTTTAACATGACTACTGGAAAATATAAAATTACTTATATAGCTTGCATTTTATTTCTATTAGATAATGCGGGCCCATTTCCCTCTAATAAAATTCTCTACAATGATTAAAACAAATCTTTGTTCTCATGCACAAAATGGTTAAAGGATCTTATTTATGTCTCCTTGTTTCTGAAGGTTTAAGGCTTAAGCTTCCATATAAAAGCACCAGTACATGGACCTCCAAGACGCTAGGGTTTCTGTTGGAAGATTAAGGACACATGTGCCCATCTATGCAGTATTTTCCCAACAACCTGCTCCTAGAACCACTCCCTCAATACCTTTCCAAATCCAGTCTTCATTGCCCCACTCACCTTCTTACCCTAATTAAAGCCTAGCATCCTAATCTCTTACAATCTGCACATTTCCAGAAAAAGAACATTGCTACAATTTATAAACTGGTAAGTACACTATAAGACAAAAATGTTGGGAAGTACAATCAAGTAGAGCCTTCTTTTCACTACTGTTTTTAAAAACTGTCAACTATTGCTCTCACAAAGAGAACTAACTGTAAGATGCTGTGATAGGAAAGGAGGATTCCAGTCATCTAGGACACATCTGTGTAGAGCGTTGAAGTTCCCAGCTGCCTTTGTAATTTCAGCCAGGAGAAGGGGAAACTGACCCCTGCTGGAAGAAGGCAAAGCTGACACAGATGGGCATGTGGTGGATGCTCAGAGGGACTGGATCACGCTCTTCAGGTGTGTACTGTTGCAAAAGAAAATATCCACCAATTAGTCACCAAGTTAGGAATTTATCAAAGTATCTATCATCTTGAGAATCAAAAGCTGAAACCAAAAGTGAATTCTTTTATCCTCAGTACCTGAATCACATCTTTTTCCAACTACCTGTGTGACACTGCTACTTTTCAAACTGTGTGCTTTCCAGGACACATCTGCAAAATCTTTGAGGTATACTCTGCATCCCATGCAATGAAGCCATCGTAAGCACAAGCAATTCCAGTGACTGAAAATGTACACAACCAACATCACATCCTTACTATTTTTGTGCTGGCACTGGTGTTTGAACTCAGAACCTAGACATGTTCCTTGTTTTTTTTCACTCATGGCTGCTGCTCTACCATTTGAGACACAGCTCTACCTCTGGCTTTTTAATGATTAGCAGGAGATATGAGTCTCATGGACTTTCCTGCCTAGACTGGCTTTGAACTGCAAATCCTCAGATCTCAGCCTCCTATGTAGTTAGGCCTGAGCCACTGGCACCCAGCTACATCTGGATTTTGTAACATTTCCATGACTCCCCAAATTCCCGAGCCTCTCTGCACTCTCACTTCCACCTTTGGCCCCTCCATTAATCGGCCTCTTCTGCACATTCTACATCAATCAGCTGAATGATCTCATTATTATGTATCAAGCTTTTTTCAACTTAATATCTCCTCCACTTTGTAGCACATATAAGTAAGCATGCCTAGGTGTGTGAATACAGACTTCTTTTATCCACTTATCAGCTGACATTGGACCATTTCCAACTTGCAGCTTTGACTGTTAATGCTACAACCCTTTCAAATACACCTGAGTACATACTCTCCTTCCTTTTTAGGTCTCTCAGCACAGAATTGCTGGAATTCATTTTCTTAGTCGTAAGCCATAACTTATTTTAATATTACAAAGTAAAATGTGTTGAAAGATGTGTACCACGTTATTTTCTTCGATTTTATTTTTTATTTTTATATAGAAAGTTTATGCTTAGCTTTTTTCTTCTTTTTTGGCCAGTTCTGGGGCTTGAACTCAGGGGCTGGGCACTGTCCCTGAGTGTCTTTTGCTCAAGGTAGTACTCTACCACTTGAGCCACAGCTTTACTGCTGGCTTTTTCTGTTTATGTGGTACTGAGGAATCGAACGTTAGAGCTTCATGCGTGCTAGGCAAGCAACTACCACTCTGTGCTTAGCTTTTTAAGAAACTGCCAAACTTTTCCAACAACATTGTACTATTTTTTAGCTGTTGTCATCAGCTCTTCTGCTCAAGACTAGTGCTCTACCACTTTGAGCCACAGGGCCTCTTCCAGTTTTCCAGTGGTTAATTGGAAATAAGTCTCACAGACTTTCCTGCCTGAGCTGGCTCTGAACCATGATCCTTGACATCAGCCTCCTGAGTAGCTAGGATTACAGGCATGAGCTACCAGTGCCTGGCTAAAACTATTTTTATGTTCCTACCAGCAATAATACATTATTTTTCTATTCCTTTCTGAAGTCTTCTAATCACACTACTATTTTTTTGTGGGGGTCCAGTCGTGGGCCTGAACTCTGGGCCTGGGCATTGTCCCTCAGCTCAAGGCTAGTGCTCTAACACTTGAGCCACAGCGCCACTTCCAGCTTTTTTCTTTTTGCTTATGTGGTGCTGAGGAATTGAACCCAGGGCCTCATGCATGCAAGGCAAGTGCTCTACCACTGAGCCACCTTCCCAGCCCCTAATCACACTACTTTTTTATTTACTTCCCATACGAATTTCATCTTCCATAGCCCAAAAAGCATTTGGTACATGACAGAGCAGATATCTATGCTTATTCAGCTGACCATGGCCTTCTGTCTGTATTTATCATTTTCTTTGGTCCTTCAATAGTATCATATACCAACAGCCCTTGGCAGAAGACAGGTTTCTCATCTCTGTTCTGGGTACAGAAACAGTACCTCTTCTGTATCTAAATCTACAAACTTTTAATACTCTGGCACACAATTTACATACATCAAAACTGACCTGCTCAGCACAAAGAAAAAGACCCCTAGACCAATGCTTTTCAGTGTGCTTTCTGGACTGGCACCATAGGTACCATCTAAGAACTCTAGGTTAGACATGGAAAGTCTTATCCCCCCTCCCCCCACCTCTGTGTTCCTGTGAGTTACATCCTGGCAATATGTCCTAACAACTCCTCTAGGTACTCTGATGGTCCTCCACCAACTACTTTATTATGCAAAGGGAAAAAAAATCCCGGAGATGGGCTGGGAAGGTGGCTCAGTGGTAGAGCACTTGCCTCGCATGCATGAGGCCCTGGGTTCGATTCCTCAGCACCATATAAGCAAAAAGTAAAAAGCTGGAAGTGGCGCTGTGGCTCAAGTGGTAGAGCACTAGCCTTTAGCTGAAGAGCTGAGGGACAGTGCCCAGGCCCAGAGTTCAAGCCCCACGACCAGACCCAAAAAAAAAAAGAAAAAAAATCCCAGAGACCCAGAAATCCACAGAACTTCCATCCTTGTAAACAATGCATGGCTGTTACAGGGTAAGAATGGTACTATGCTAGGAATCAAGTATTTTTTAGATGTGACATTCAATCCAAAGAGGTAATCATTGCTCTATTCTGGTAGTCATTGCTCTCATGCTGGGATATGTTCTTGACATTTCTATAAAGATAACTTAAAAGAGATTTCTAGGGCAATTGTGATGCTGGATAGCTTTTGTATCATGAAACTAGCCAGAACCTACATGGCTAACAAGACTTTACTGACAGCTAGTTGTCTATGCTGTCTAGGATGCGCACTCACACGTGGAAGGGTCCTGGTTCAGATCACAGGCGCTTACCAGGGTTACTTCATCTCCTTGCACAGAGACATCAGGTCTTCGGAAGTGACACAAGGCTACAATGGCAGCAATGCTGGCAGCGTCGATAATATTCCCATCATGATTTAGTAAGTGTAGGTCCACACGTATTTGCCAGACCTGAAAAGCATAAATATAAATACATAAAATAATAAATGAAAAATATAAAAACATTTAAAAAATCCTAACTGAGGGCTGAGAAGGTGATTCAGTGGTAGAGCGCTTGCCTTGCATGCCTGAGGCCCTGGGCTTGATTCCTCAGCACCACATAAGCAAAAAGAAAAAAGCCAGAAGTAGCACTGTAGCTCAAGTGGTAGAGCGCTAGCCTTGAGCTGAAGAGCTGAGGGACAGCGCTCAGGCCCAGAGTTCAGGCCCTATGACCGGACCCCCCCCCAAAAAAAAAAATCCTAACTGAGCAAAGCAACTAGACAGTTAGCAAGAAAAATTACACTGCCTATAAGCACTTTTCTGTTTTCTGAGAAAACAGGAAGCCTTCTAGTTGATCAGTAAAAATGAAAATTAAAAAGCCAAGAGCTGGGAAGGTGGCTCAGTCAGTGCTAGAGTGCTTGCCTTACATGCATGAGGCCCTGGGTTCAATTCCTCAGCACCACATAAGCAGAAACAGCCGGAAGTGGTGTTGTGGCTCAAGTGGTAGAGCGCTAGCCTTGAGCTGAAGAGCTGAGGGACAGCGCCCAGGCCCAGAGTTCAGGCCCCACAACCAATCAAAAAAAAAAAAAAAAATTAAGCCAAGTAAATATCTAAAATACAATCAGTTCACCTTTCTATTTGAGTTATTGGACCACAGTAAAATACCTTATACTCACACATTTTTCTAACTCCAAACCTAGTATGTTTTTTATTCTGTCTGATAACATCTCAAACTCTTAAGGTTTATATAATAAGAAGGTGGAAGTGAAGCAAACTTTCTCTAGCGTAAAAAAATGCTTTAAAAATACCCTCATGGAGAACATAATTCTGCTGGTCAGCGGTGGCTTGTGCCTGTAATCCTAACCACTCAAGATACTGAGATCTAAAGATCCTATTCAGTGAGATCCTTTTTTTTGTACATTTCTTCTTGTAAAAATGCTGTACATAGGGATTAGTTACATGAGCAAGGTAATGAGTACATTTCCTATTGATCATTGTTGCCTCCTCCTTTGTTTCCCCCTACTATCCCTTCCCTCCCATCTCCACAACTAGCCCCCCCGCCTTGCCGAAGTTGTAAAGTTCGTTTTCAACATAGTGTTTTGTACATCTCATTGTTACAATGGGTCAACCTGTATTTTTATTTAAGCATTTTTTCCCTTCCCCTCCCTGAATTAGAGAAGTGTATATACAAGATGCAGGGCACTGACATCAAATACAGTGAAACCAGGGTTATACCGTGGGGGAGGAACATACAAAAAATCATTGCTCCATTTGTTAGGAAATGGAAAGACTTGGAAAAAATTATATTAAGTGAAGTAAGCCACGCCCAAAGAAACATAGGGCCCATGGTTTCCCTTATTTGCAATAACTAGTATATACCTGAAACAAGCAGAAACAGTCAGATAAGTTGATGTTAGGTGAAATGAAACCCAAGATAAGGACTCACATGGTTTTTCTTTCTTGCTATTGTTTCTAATGTATTTATAAGATGATTTCTTTGTTGCTTTGTATGTTCCTCCCCTACGGTATAACCCCTGCTTTCATTGTATTTGATGTTGGTATAATTTGTGGAGGGGAAGGGAAAAAACCAATTGTTTAAATAGGAATACAGGTGGACCCATTGCAACAATGAGATGTACCAGACGTTATGTCGTAAAATGAACTTTACAACTTTGGCGTAGGAGGGGGGGGGCGGTCAGGGAGTGGGGGAGATGGGAAAGGGTGGTAAGGGGAAACAAAGGAGGAGGCAACAATGCTTGATAAAAAATATACTCATTACCTTGCTTATGTAATTGTAACCCCTCTGTACAATATTTTCACAATAAAAAAAAAGAAATAAAATACTTTGAGCATCTGGAAAAAAAATCACATGGTACATTATTCACACGGTACATTATAAGTACGTTAGAAACAATAGCAAGAAAGAAAAAAGATATCTGTGTCCCTGTCTTGGGGTTCACTTCGTTTAACACCATCTTATATGGTCATATGTACATAGCTTTTGGCCTTTTCTGCTCGTCCTATATATGTACTAGTTATTGCAAATAAGGGAAACTATAGGACCTTTGTTTCTTGGGCCTGGCTTACTTCACTTAATATAATTTTTTCCAAGTCTTTCCATTTCCTAACAAATGGGTGATGTCAATCTTTCTGATGGAGGCATAGAATTCCATTCTTATCTTCAATTAACCAAAAAGAAGTGGGTGGGGGTGTAGCCCAAGTAGTAGAGTGCCAGCCTTAAGTGAAAAAGTTAAGGACAGATAGCATCTAGGCCCTGAGTTCCAGCCCCATATTAGTGTCAATGTACGCACATGTGCACACATGCACACAGTTTAAGAATTTTAAGGCGATTCCTCACCTTTTCACCAGCAACGACACAGAGTGATTCAGTGTCTATACACTTGGAATTTCTCAGACATCTTTCCAGGAGTCGATTCAACTTCACCAACAGATCTGACTGCCTATGAAACAGGGATGGATACATGGTCATGAACTTAAAATGTGTTGTTTTTCTATGGCTAAAGTAACTTAAGAAAGATTTAAATACCTGCCAGGTTCAAATGCCGGAGCAGCCATTTGAGAAAGTTCAAGATTAAAATACAGAATACCTTCTGTTGGCCTGTTGAGTTTTGGAGAAACAAGTTCACAGGAAACCTGGCCAAGAACTCTGCAAAGATAAAGGAACAACACAGTTAACTAAGAATATTTCCTTTCCAAATAAAAAAGATGTAATAAAACAGACAACAATTTTCAATCTCATTCTGAGGGTAATATGTTCAATCTAATGGCTTGACAGACCCTTGAAAGTCATTCAAAAAAGGAGGCAAGGTGGGGACTGGTGGCTCACACACACCTGCAATCCTAGCTACTCAGAAAGCTGAGATCTGGGGGTTGAAGTATGAAGCCAGCCAGGGCAGGAAAGTTCATCCCTCTTATCTCCAAATAAACAGCAAAAAGCTGGAAGTAGAGCTGTGGCTCAAGTGGTAGTTCCAGTCTTGAGTGAAAAAGCTAAGGGACAGCACCCAGGAACTGAGTACATACATCAATATGAGTGTGTGTGCGCACACACACACACACACACATACACACACACACACGAAAAAAAGAAAAAGTGGAGTCTGTTAATGAGAAGGTGGTCAAAATCTCTACATTGTTAAGGATGTCATACTTAAAGATGTCATAAAGAACCACAGTGATATTCACAGAGCTTGTGATTAAACAGTGTACCTACAAAACCAAAAAGTGTTACATTCAAGGACATATACTTATTCTTGGAAGGACAGTCCAGACTTCTGAACAGCTTTGTCAACAACCCAGTCAACAAGATTACTCTTGCACTGCGGGTGGACTTCTTACAAACAGAATCCTGTTACCTTGTTTTCCCGAGCTCCACGATACAGCACCCATAATCCGCCCCAAATGAGATCCTTAAGCTTCTGTAATCGTAGGTTTGTCTGCCATCCAGCCGCTGGAAACACAACCAACATTCATTTATTCGGCAACTCTCTCTTGAGCAACTCTTTTGTGCAGTCACTCGCGATCTGTGGCACTCTAACCACACGGCCCCGGTGTGCCGGCGGAAGCCAGGCGCTGCGGGGCATGGAGAGGTGCTGCGATGGCTTGGAAGCTTGAAAAGAATCCGGCGGCCGGGCGCCGGTGGCTCTCACCTGTATTCCCAGTTAGGGCACTAAGATCTGAAGTTCTCGGTTCGCAGCCCGGCCGGGGAGGAATGCACGTGAAACTTTTATCTCCAATTAATCACCAAGTGGCGCTCTGGCGCCAGGCTTGAGTGAAAAAGCCAGGTGAGAGGGGGAGGATCTGAGTTCAAGGCCCAGGATCGGCAGAAATAAACCAAACCAACAAACCGACAGCGCAAAGTACCCTGCAGGGGCGGGAGGCGTACCCCCGCCCCGGCCCGCTTCCCGGGCTGCGCCCGAGGCCGCGCCGGCCCCAGCGGCACGCGCCTCCGCCAGGGCCTCCTACCTTCTTCTCTTCGATGGCGCGCAGGAGGAAGCGGCGCTCACAGTTAGACAGGGGCGTTTCCTTCATGGTGTCCGGTCACGGCGCCCGCCGGGACCAGAACCCGGGACCGGGAACCGCGGAAGACTCCACGCGCGTCCCGTTCGCGCCGCGGCCCCGGAGGTGATGTCATTAAAGCGCGACGGTGGCGGAACGAAGACGGGGCCAGGATGGGCGGGGCAGTGGGCCAGGGGCGGGACTGGAGCGGGGCAAGGGAGAGAGGATGGGCCGGGATGGGCGGGGCGTTGTGTCGGGGGCGTGTCTGGAGGGCGTGCCGTGGGCGGGGCCAATGAGCGCGGGGCTGGGACCTCGCGGGCGCTGGTGCACGGTTGGTGATTCCGGGATGTGTTTGCTCTTTAGGAGATTTCAGGGTATCAATGGAGAAACACATTGGAGACGGTGACAGGAAAGCTGTGGGTCTTCCCGCTCTCCAATCTCTTCTCTCTCCTTGTTGTTTTGTGCCTTCCTGGGATTTGAACTCAGGGCCTGGGCGCTATCTCTGAGCTTTTTTTTTTTGCTCAAGGCTAGCGCTCTGCCACTTGAGCCCCAACTCCATTTTTGGTTTTTGTTGGTTAATTGGAGATGAGTCACCATCTTTCCTGCCCAGGCTGGCTTTGAAACAAGATCCTCAAACCTCAGCTTCCTGAGTAGTCAGGATTACAGGCGTGAGCCGCAGACACCTGGCTCTTTTGTTGTTAAATTACCTTGAAGTCGTTGTATAGAAAGTTTCAATTCAATAAATAAGTTTATAAGTGCAGAGCATCTTGATCAGTGTAACTTTTTCCCCAGCTCTGCTTTTTGCTGATTAATTAGAGATGGAATCTCACAGACTTTGCTGCCTCGGCTGGCTTCTAACAGTGATCCTCCAGATCTTAACCTCCTGAGTAGTTAGTACTATGGACCCAAGCCACCAGTGTCTGCCTTGATTTAATGTTTATTTATTATTTCTCAAAAAATTTTTTTTCTGGTACCAGGCCTTGACCTCAGGGCCTTTTGTTTGCTCAGTTTGCTTGCTTGGCTGGCACTCTACCACTTGAGCCATGCACACACACAATTTATCTCAAGGATAGATCCTTTTCCTTGACCGTGGACAGCAACCCTCACCCTCACTGGTGTAGTGCATTTCTTACAACAAACCACCATTTATTATGCCTGTTTCACAAAGAGATTTACCCAAATTTGCAAAACTAGTGAATTGTAGAGCCAAGGCTTATACTCAGTGTGCGTCCAAAGACAGCTTGAAAATTCTTAGTTCAATGTTTCTTTTCTGTGTAAGGATTTTTTTCTTTGGGGGGGGGGCACAGAAGAAATTACTTTACTCTGCTGTTTCTTGCAACTATGAATCCATTTTACCCCAAATGTATTCCCCTCTCCCAACACTACACAGGGATACTTTGTCTGTGAAGATCTTTAACTTTCTTCATTTACTTACTTGCTCTCTCACAGCTATAGAGAAAATAAAAAGAATAAAGAAGCTTACCACAACTCAGTTTCTTATAACTAACACACAACAGGAAGCAGGGCTCATGAATGCAAAGAGGCATGCAGAAGTTTGGCTACCAGCCCAAAGCTAGCACACAGGCAGGAGTAAGCTTCATGTTGAGCTGAACTTTCATAGCAAAACACGGGAAGAGCTATATGTGTAAAAGTAGTCCTGGCTTATGTGTGTGTGTGTGAGCACGCGTGCGCGCACATGTGCATCTGCACGCACCTACGCTGGTCCTAGGGCTTGAACTCAGGGCCTCAGCACTGTCCCTGAGCTTTTTGGCTCAAGGCTAGTGCTCTACCTTGACTCACTCACAGCTCCACTTTCGGCTTTTTTTCTTGTGGTTAATTTGAGATAAGAGTCTCACAGACTTTCCTTCCTGGGCTGGCTTCCTCAAATCTCAGCCTCCTGGGTTGCTGGGATTACAGGTGTGAGCTTCCAGCATTCTCACCCAGTTTAGAATGCATGTTGTGATCTCTAAGCTGAAGCTGTAAATTCTGTTTCCTATTCAGGGGGAGAGGGAAAGAGGGAGGGAAAATAGAAAAGAGACACAGAGAGACAGAAAGGTTGGCAGAGAAATAGAGGCTAACCTGTGTATTTATTTTTGTGTGTGCCGGTACTAGGACTTGAACTTAGGGCCTCACATTCTGCCCGAACATTATTGCTCAAGGCTGATACTGTGCCATTTAAGCCACAACTCCATTTCCTACTTCTTGCTGCATACCTGGAGTCTCTCAAATTTATTTGCCCAGGCTGACCAGGAGCCTTGATCCTCAGCTCTTTTGAGTAGCTAGAATTACAGGTGTGACCACTGGCACCAGCTTTTGACAAAAATAAATTCTAATTTATAGATTGAATTATATTCTGGAGGGCATGTGAACACTCAGCACAATGCAAGACACAAAGTAAGGACCTGGTAAACACTTGGTAAATGACCTGTCTTTGCAGAATCATAGTGAATTAAATTATTAGAATACCTGCAGGCTTTGTTAAGGCTAAATAATACAATTTTTTTTCCTGCACTCAGGTTCCCTTGTGTATATTAGATCAGCTTTGCAAACTGGTTTTGCAAAACAACTCTATTTTGCTAGAATATTAGATTATCTGGCAAAATTTGTTTATACGAACCCATGCTGGCTCTTTATGATCACCTCAGACACTTCTAAATGATCACAGACCATCTGTTTCAGACCTTGTTTTAGATTTTGGGGTTTTTTTTCCTTTTTTTGTCTGCCAACAATGCTATGTTCTTCATTCCCTTTTGCCTTCTTTGCAGTTTGGGGATGTTTTAAAACTTATTTTATTTTTTTGTCTTTTCTTTTTGGGTACTGGGGATCAAACCCAGGACATTGTAGTTGGTAGGCAAGTGCTTTCCCACTGAGCTACATGTCAGCCTTTCTTTGCATTTTTGGTTCTCAGAACTTTCATGTTATTCAGGATGAGAGTCTGGCTCACATTCATTAGTAAGGAAGACCTTTAAATATTTCCTACATCATTTCAAAAAAAATTTTGTGCCAATTCTGGAGCTTGAACTCAGGGCCTTGGGCATTGTCTCTGAGCTTTTTTTTTTTTTTGCTCAAGCTTAGTGCTCTACCACTTGAGCCACAGCTCTACTTCCAGGTATTCGCTGGTTAACTGGAGATAAGAGTCCTATGGACTTTCCTGCCCATGCTTATTTTGAACCATGATCCTCTTAAGTAGCTAGGATAACAGGCATGAGCCACTAGCACTGCTCAATTTTAATATTATTATTATTTATTTTTTGCTGGTCCTGGGGCTTGAACTCAGGGCCTGGGCTTTATCCCTAAGCTTCTTTTGCTCAAGGCAAGCACTCTACCACTTAAGCCACAGTGCCACTTCTGGCTTTTTTGAGGAGTTTATTGGAAATGAGAGTCTCACAGAGTTTCCTGCCAAGGCTGGCTTTGAACTTCGATCCTCAAATATCAGGCTCCTGAGTGGCTAGGACTGTAGGCATGAGCCACCCGTGTCTGATTGGCTCAATTTTTGTTTTTTAATGAAAGGAGTAAGATGACCACATTGTCCTTGAAGAGTATTTGGATTATACAACTAACACCAGATGCCTATTTCAAACCACAGCGCTGGATGAAATTGTAGGTTGATCCAACATAAAATTAGATTTCTCATCTGTTAGGGGAAAAGTTCCAACAGGAAAATGTAGGTAGGACATGAGTCATCGAATGTGATTTTTTTTTCCTGCCTCGTAAATAAATCCTATTTAACTAAACCATATGTTTTGAAGGAGTTAAAAAATGAAAATGTAACACTTTTATATACCTGAACTCTTGACCATTAAAGCTCATGAACATTTGCATTTCTCAGTTATAAATGGAGTTTTGGAAAGAAGCCAGTCATTTTCTTTGTAGCAAGTCTTGCCATCAATACTTTTTCCTCAACAAATAATTTAAACATAGTAAAGATGTAAGCTATGCACACTTACTTTTTATTGGCGTATTATTATTGTTTTGGTTTCAAGAGTAGCAAAAGAGTAGAAGAAAAGTTCTAGAATGAATAGTTAAGCTGGGTGCTGGTGGCTCATGCCTGTACTCCTAGCTACTCAGGAGGCTGAGATCTGAGGACTGTGGTTTGAAGCCAACCCAGGCAGCAAAGTCTGTGAGACTTATCTCTAATGAACCACCAAAAAGACAGAAGTTTGTAGTTAAGTGGTAGAGTGCCAGACTTAACCGAAAAGTTAAGGGACAGTGTTCAGATCTGGAGTTCAAACTCCACTACCAACACACACACACACACACACACACACACACACACCACACACCACACACACACACACACACCACACACCACACACCACACACACGTGCATACACCAAACGTCTTCTACCTTAGGAGAAGAGGATTAAACTTTATAACTTCATTTCAACCAGTTCTCAGCTCATCTCAGCAATTTAGTTTGCAAATGATGACTATTTACTTCTGTTGAGCAATTTCAGTTTAACAGCCATGATTGGGGTACCACTGGGACGGATTTAGCTTTGGTCACAGAACTTTTGCGTTGCACCCCACCCCCTGTTCTCTTTTATTCTGGAATGCGGAGGGCTGTCAATGAATCACAGAACAACTATAAAACATGGGGGCAGTACTCAGTAGACACTGTGTGGAAAATGAACTATGCAACTTGTGGGCAGGGATGAGAGAGGGAAATGGGGAAAAAGTGCAGGAAGGGGTGACATTGTCCAAAAATAAACATTGACTCATTACCTGGCTTGTGAAATGGTGAGCCCTCTATACCACCCCTTAAAACGAACAATAAAATTATATTTTTTAAAACGTAAAAGAAGCTCGATGCCAATGGCTCACACCTATAATCATAGTTACTCAGTAGGCTTAGATCTGAGCATCATGGTTCAAAGCTGGGCAGGAATGTCCATGAGGCCCTCATCTCTAATAAACTAGTCAGAAAAAGCTGGAAGTGACACGTTGGCTCAAGGGGTAGAGCACTAGCCTTGAGAGAGAGAAAAAGAAAGAGAGAGAGAGAGAGAGAGAGAGAGAGAGAGAGAGAGAGAGAGAGAAAGAAAGAAAGAAAGAAAGAAAGAAAGAAAGAAAGAAAGAAAGAAAGAAAGAAGCCAAAAACAAGAAGAGAGCTATGAGAGCAG